CACAGCGAGTGTACACACAGTGTACGTGTTGTGTTACACTCTGTGTGTGTGTGTACACACAGCGAGTGTACACACAGTGTACGTGTTGTGTTACACTCTGTGTGTGTGTACACACAGCGAGTACACACAAAGTGTACGTGTTGTGTTACATCGTCTGTGTGTGTGTACACACAAAGTGTACGTGTTGTGTACACACCCACTCTGTGTGTGTGTACACAACAAAGTATACGCGTTGTGTTACATCCTCTGTGTGTGTACACACAAAGTGTGCGTGTGGTGTTACATCGTCTGTGTGTGTGTACACACAAAGTGTACGTGTTGTGTTCCACTTTCTGTGTGTGTACACACAAAGTGTACGTAAGCGCATGAGCAAATATAGAAATCGGGGGAACAAAACGTAAACGCGTCGCTCTTTGTGCAAATGGATAATCTCGAAGGAAGCCATCATGCACGTGAGGTCAGTTCGCGCAGCTCCCAGACCGAACGAATCAATAAATACATTAATTAATTCGCCCCCCACCGCATTGCCCCCCATTGCCCCCCCCCCATTGCCCCCCATTGCCCCCCAATCACGATGTGGAAACGTGTCCCCGTTCGGTACCGATGTAGCGCCCGGGAGAGCGGCAAACACCAGTGACGATTATCTGAACCGGTCCTGGGCCTCCCCTAGGTCGACTCAGCCTCAAATGAGTACCTGGTGCGGTGTGTAGTAAACATCGCCGCTAGGGAGACAAAGGCGGTCGGGCGTGGTGCTGGCCACCCACCCCCTCGTGTACCGTTGCGGCCTTCATAGGTGCTCGCTAACAGCACTTGCCCCTACAGTCTGTTAAGGCTATACGGGGATCTTTGTCTTTGTATGTTTATGAACGGTATACAATGTGAACACATCTATTGTATATCTTCCGTCTCGGGAGAAATCGTATGAAGGAAGCCGCCGTGGAATGGCGTGGAGTCGTCGTCGAGTGCGCGGTGATGCGGGTGGTGATCTCTGTTGTCAACAATTTAAATTGTTCGACTTAAAACGGTCGTGACTGCAGGGATTCATCGTCGCGTCGATATAAACAATAATAATACAATAAAATGTATTTATTCGTCTTATTCTACCGAAAGAACCAAAGAATATGAACATAAATTCTACATTACAACATTACTCGTCAACAGCACTGCCCTTAAGGGAACCATATGTGTGCATTATATTGATATAATATACTGTATATATGTATATATAATATACTGTATATATATGTATTTTCGTGGAATGTTCGATGTTGGTGTTTTTCGCAATGTTCAGCGTTTTGCGTGATGCAATGTAGCACGATATTTACTAAATAAAAAGTCAAGAAAGTATGACATTCCACATTTTAAATATGGGACGCGTTGGTGCAAATTACACGTTCTTTATAGCGCGTTGATCAAGGGAAGGGCCCAATGACGAACGCGTGGATGTGTTTTTAATTATTCATGTTTGTTGTGCTTGTGCACCCATCACTGCCAATGCGGCGGTATTACGCTGCACGCGCCGGATGATTGTTAAACACGTCTGCGTCACTAGAAACACGTGCACACACACCGGGCTCTCGAACTTGATTTGAATCGGCGCCGTGAACGAAAACAGAAGAAACGTGAATTGCCGTGTAGCGAGTTACTTCGTATTTTAATTGGGGAGTCAATTGTAAGTGAGAGCTGGGAGGAGACTCGCTGCAGAGAAACTCGAGAAAAGTATTCCGACAGACCTGGTCTTCACCTGAGGACGGCTGCTTGCGTTGTGGCCGAAACGTCGTGAGAATTGTATTTTATTAAGTTTAATTTTATTATTTTATTATTTCCCTTCTACGTGACTTTACCGAAAGAACCAAGAAGATGAATCGCTGCAGTCACGAAAGCTTGAAATCGAAAAATATCGAGTTAAGTTTAAAGTCGCGTTTTAGTATTGATGTGAACATTTCGATTAATATTATTGCTGTGTTTTGATACTATTGTTTTGACTAATGTATTTAAATCGTTCGGCCCCATCTGGGTCTTCATTTAAGTTACTTCGTTAGTCCCGTTTGGCCGATGCGCACGAGCTTTCGTGCGGTTCCTTTATTTACCCAGAATCTCTCTTGGGATGGGGAAACAAAAATGACCGCAATGGGAAAGAAAGAGACGGTAATGCGGCATTGTTATCGGCTGTGATCGCAGTTACATCATATCCGTGTCGCGCTGCGCTGTCTTAATGTTTTATGAGCGAAGCCATATCAATAGCATCCATCAGTAATTGGTCTTCATGATTAAACATCGTCTGGTGGTGGTGATGGTGATACTGCGACTATTGCTTCTGCGCGCGACGTTGGGCAGAGTGGTGCACACAACACAATTAACAAAACAAAAACACAATTCCACGCAATCGTCGATAACACCGTGGCATTAAAAAAACAATATATGTGTAAAATCGGCGACGTTTCGGGCAATGGACCTTCGTGCATGGTCTTCGTAATGCCCCACAAATGCTCGCTCATCGGCGTGAAACTTACAAGTGGAACTTAACGAATGGATGAGGCTGCGATTTGTACGGAGTGTGAATGTACAACGCATGTTAGCAATGAATATACATGACTAAATACATGCATATATATATTTTTAATAACGAATCAATCAACAACGATATATAGATTCATTAATTATCAACCGCCCGTTATTCCAGAATTGCTTATTTATTTTTTGGGAAAAATTATTTCGTTTTAAATTAACACGTAAAATGTATTAATTCTTAAAACAAATTATGGCATTTCATGATTTCACTTATCCGGCCTTCCCAATTAAAGTGTCGCAAGCAGCTTTGTTTAAACAATTCCTAGCAATGTATTATTGATGATTAAATAGAGCATTAAAGTGTGTAACAGTAGACACACGCTACTCGTATTTGTAGCGGATATGGCCGATGATGTTGTGATGTAAAACATGTGTTTGTTTCGTAATTAATTTGGTAATTATCCCCATTCCTTTCTTACCATCTACCAAACACGACACGTAATCGCCATCGCTTAACGAGCCTTTCATCATCATATCGTACACATGGTCGTGTTGAGTGGTCGTGTTGAGTGGTCGTGTTGAGTGGCCGTGTTGAGTGGCCGTGTTGAGTGGCCGTGTTGAGTGGCCGTGTTGAGTGGCCGTGTTGAGTGGCCGTGTTGAGTGGCCGTGTTGAGTGGCCGTGTTGAGTGGCCGTGTTGAGTGGCCGTGTTGAGTGGCCGTGTTGAGTGGCCGTGTTGAGTGGCCGTGTTGAGTGGCCGTGTTGAGTGGCCGTGTTGAGTGGCCGTGTTGAGTGGCCGTGTTGAGTGGCCGTGTTGAGTGGTCGTGTATATTTTACAGGCGTAATTTTAATTAACGGCCATGTTGTATGGTGCAAGCGAAATCACTGTTAATATATTAATATTTATATAACAAATCAAATGTATAATACCAATTCCATCCTAGGATCCCATTGGGTACCATAAATTTGCACAAGTCAAACATAAAAAAAAAATTTTGACAAACTTCGTAAATTCTTCTTCTTGGTTCTTTCGGTAAAGTCACGTAGATCGTGACTTGGTTCTACGTGACTTTACCGAAAGAACCAAGAAGATGAATCCCTGCAGTCACGACAGCTTTAAATCGAAATTCGTAAATTCTCTATTTGCAAGTGTTTTCTTAGATATATATCGAAAAAATCGAAACTTTAAAGAAAATAAATAGAACCTGCGACGTTTCGGGCAGTGACCCTTTTTAGTAGCACATAAAGAAGGGCCATTGCTCGAAACGTCGCAGATTAATATATTGATTTGTTCTTTTAGTGCCACAGTGTTGTTTCCGGTTGTGTTGAGTTGTTATTGTTAATTTGTGATTGTGTACTACTGCCGACACAGCAGCAACATCGCCAAATAATCTGGCATCTCAATGGGACCCTGTAACTGGTTCAATACAGTCCAACTATCTATTACATTAAGGCGTGACCTGGCCACGAATGATATAGCTCAACGAAATACTCTGAACGCAAGATGTTGATTTTAAATGTGGAGGGGAAAACCGGAAGACCCGGGGAAAAATCCACGCGACCACAGAGAGAGAGAGAGCCAGACAAACTCCAAATATACAACAACAGGCGTCAGGGTTTGGGATCGAACCCACGATCTCCTGCATACCAGGCGAGGGAGTTTGAACATCTCGCCATATGTAGCCATCAAGGCGCGTAGAATATAATTTGCAAAATCAATACATGAAAATGTTCTTGTAATAAACCAACGCTACTTTATTTTTAAAATGTTATACGTGGACAGATGTGGAAGGGAAGCCCAATATCTATTGTTTAATACACATTTGAAAAAATAAACACGTGCCAATAACACTGCAGCCTTAAAGGTGTGTGGGGGGGGCATATAAGAAGCGACGTTTCAGGCAATGCACCTTGTTCATAGCGCAGAAAAATAACAACAACCGCCATTCGCCACTTAAGTGACGGTGACATCCCCACGGCGCTTGTGCCAGGCTACGTGCACCTTTGAGGCCACGTGAAGTGTCACAATGCTCGCTGGGCACGAGGAGGCCCCCCCCCAGGTGCCATGGGTTGGTGATTGACCCCTCCCGCCACCAGACACACAAACAACACAGATCCACAGCGTGGACAGGCGCGTCAGTGTCCCTTACCTTCCCCATCGCTGCCAGTAGAGGGCGCGCTAGGACCGGATTGCCCGCGACCTAATTTACAACCTCAGCAGTCGCGACATTATACCGCGTCCCCTCGGTTGGGGGGCAGGGGGGAGGCGGGGGGAAGGGGGGAGGGGGCTCTATCTGGGCGCATGCGCAGTCGCGGCACATCCAAAGAATCCTTTGGAGCCCCGTTGTGGAGCGCTCCCCTCTTCCAATCGGCCCGGGGCGAGTCTGCCACGAGGCGAGATGCGTGCGACCGAAAACACAACCCTGGGCGCACAGCTGCCGAGAGGAGCTCCCACCTCGCGTCTCGATCTCTCGCGCTCTCTCGCTCTCACTTGCTCCGGCAGTACATGTACTACAATTGGAACGATGCACAGAAGATTAGAATGGCCCTGCGCAAATATGACACGCATATTCGTGAAGCGTGCGCTCTCTCTCGCTGTCTCACTCTCTCTCGCTGTCTCTCTATCGCTGTCTATGTCTCTCGCTGTCTCTCTCTCTCGCTGTCTCTCTATCGCTGTCTCTCTCGCTGTCTCACTCTCTCTCGCTGTCTCACTCTCTCTCGCTGTCTCACTCTCTCTCGCGATCTTCGGCGACTGCGTTGCTCGCGAGCCTGGCAGAGAAAACCCCCAAGTTGGAATCCCCGCCCGCGAGCGATGCGATTTCTGCAACAAGTTGCAGCGGCGGATGCATTTGGACTGGGACTCGGGTCTCGCCCGAGGTCGGACTCGGCCTTAAACGAGTGCCTGGTGCGGTGTGTACATTGTGAGCAGTGGGGAGACAAAGGCGGCCGGGCGTGAAGATGTTGACCACCGCACTCCCCGTCCTGCGCCGTGCCGACATTCCTCGTTGCTACTCGCTAACAGCACTTGCCCTCAACTCTGTGTTGAAGGCTATACGGGGGATCTTTGTCTTTGGTCACAAATCCACCCCTTCGCTGTGCGTGCCCCCACCGCGTGTAGCTTGATAGGTGTTGCTGCAAGTGCAGTTTGCGAGCACCTATTAAGGCCCAAGTTTACGCCCGGCCGCCTTTGTCTCTCTCCAACGCTGATGTTGGCACAGTGCGAGTGTCCATCTCGCACACTTGCCTGGTGCATTTATTCATTTCATGCAGAGCCGACCCAGGGTGAGAGGTTACTCGTGGCCACTGACGAGGTTACTGATCGATTAGAATCACTTCGTCACAGTCATCACTTGGCCGGATTCGCACGCGCACGTTCGCTACGGCGCTTGTGCCAGGCTAGGTGCTCGTCGATAACACGTGGAATTGTGATGAAGCCCAGGGTGGATAGGAGGCGGGGTTCAGCCGTGAATGTTTCAAACCGCCGCAAAATGTTCCTCCCTTTTAAAAAAAAAAGCGGTCCCACGTCTCTCAACCGCAGGGAATATCGGCCAGATCGCTCCCCACGCACCATAGACAAAGATACCCCGTATAGCCTTGACAGACTGTAGGGGCAAGTGCTGCTAGCGAGCACCTATGAAAGCCGGAACGGTACACGAGGGGGTGGGTGGGTGACCAGCACCACGCCCGACCGCCTTTGTCTCCCTAGTGGCGATATTTTAACACACTAAATTTCACCGGCGTTTGACTGGCCGTGGGCGGGAATCGAACTCGGGGTGCGCGGGTTCCCAGCCGCTACCACTCCGCTCCGCACTTGGCCTTCTGGAATAAGGAGCGCGCGCGGCGTCCACGTGGACACGCCGGTGGTGGTGGTGAGCGAGACTCTTGCTTGGAATGTTTGTCCAATTCCTCAGCGGCCTGCGTCTATTTATGTTTCGCGTGGGAGGAAACCCGGGAGGTCATCCGCGCGTACCCCACGCAATTGCGAGGGGGGCTTGACGCCTGCCTGAATGTTTACACACAGACACACACACAGACACACACATACACACACACATACAGACACACACACAAAAGATCCCCCGTATAGCCACACACACACAAGACGCATAGACACACACACACACGACGCACAGACACACACACACGACGCACAGACACACACACACGACGCACAGACACACACACACGACGCACAGACACACACACAAGACGCACAGACACACACACACAAGACGCACAGACACACACGCACACAAGACGCACAGACACACACACAAGACGCACAGACACACACACACACAAGACGCACAGATACACACACACACGCGTGAGACCCGCTGCTGAACATTCCATGTTTTCACACATCAATCGGAATCAGAATCTTTATTTCGACTGGAGGAATCCGATGAGCTACGAATCATTTTTTTTTCACATATCTCCTGCAGTTCACAGATGGTGAGATTTCGCGTGGGAATTAATCGATTGGTTACGTCATACGTCATTAGCAAGTGCTACGGAAATGACATTGTCGGCAAACTGAAGTGATAGAGGCGCAGCCCCCGCAAGTGCTCGCTCGTGGCACTGCTGTGCGGAAGGGCCTCCGATACGGGGCGCTCTGGAGAGCCACTCGAAGGCGGAAACATTGGCCTACTCTTCCACGGTTGACAGATGGCTTGGTAGGGGGACGCGGATTTCAATTGTTAATTGGACTTCCTTGATGTTGTCTGCCGGCCGAGCCGCACTTTGATAAACAAAAAAAGCTTCTTATCTCGTGTGAGCTTTACTCGGGAAGCAAACTAGCTATTCTGAAATGTGATTACGGTGACGGAATTGAAAAAAGAAATTAACCCGTAAAAACAAAGTTTTTCACTATAAATCCTTTATATGCGTGGCGGCTAGAGTCCTCTCGTCCTCTGGCTTGAGATGGCTGCCACCTATGGGTCAGATGATTGCATGCCACCATTAAGCAATTGGTAATTAAATATAACGAATTTTTTCCTAAAAAGTGTAAAATTTTGGAGAGAAAAAATTTCACGAACATAAATTGTCACGCACAACGAGTCTGTGCAAAATGTCAGCTCGATTGGATCACGGGAAGTGGGTTAAAAAACGACCGAAAGATTTGCACGGTCGTAAGCGCGAAAGCAAGCAAGCAAGTGAACTTGATATAAAGGATTTTTAAAAACCCCGACGGGCAATTTAAAGTAAAAATCGATTCTTTCATTGGATCGCGACTCGCGAGTCTAAACCTCGCCATCGATTCGCAGGAGGAGTAGCGGGGTGTGGGTGGACGAGGGTGTCTGATCTTATATTGCCCCCGAGTCTGCAGGGTCTCCCAGCGTACGCACGCCATCGGCTACGCGCGTTATATAGCGGGGGGGGGGGGGGGGCGGGGGGGGTCCTGCTTTCAGGCTGCACGTTTCCTCCGTAATGTCTTTATTGTGGAGTGGGGGGGGGGGGCTGTTTGGGCCACACCCTCCCCCCCCAGCAGCAGCAGGGCGCGTTTATGGCCCCGTCTATGTGCACGGGGCCCGGCCACACGGAGCGGCCGTTCCCAGGCCTGGCCTCGGCAGACAATGAGAGAGGCCGGGGGGAGTGAGCGTTAGGGTGGGTGGGAGGTGGGTGAGGGGCGACTGGTGGGGGGGGAGGGGCGGGGCAGAGCGGGGGGTGGGGGGAGATCGTGAGTGGCGTTTAAAAAGTGCATTCGCTGGCAGAAACAAACTCCCAAAATAATTAACGCATTCGTTTAATATCACCGCGCTAAACAGACTCACACAATTGTATAGGCGACGTTTCCAGGTAATTAGTCTACGGGCGAAAGTTAAATTAGCTTCATCAGGTGATGACAAAAAAAAAGCTTAATTCTAGATTTGAAGCTTTCGTGACTGCAATGATTCATATTCTTAGGTTTTTTCGGTAAAGTCACCGTGTAGGTAAAAACATTAAAAAGTAAAATAAAATAAAAATCACGACGTTTCGGAGGCAACACAAGCTTCCGTCTTCAGGTGGTACCGTCACAGCCACGACAGCTGCATCAAGTAAATGAGAGATTGCAAGAGCTACCACTACGTTTCTCTTGCTACATCCGCATGGATGTGTCCTATGCCTCTAAGGGAGTTCGGTGAGGACACAGCAGCAGATGTGAGTGTGAAAGCGATGGGTATTACCTTGTTATCTCGGCATCTCTTGAGGAAGGCCAGCGTCTCGAGAAGCTGTGACTTCTTGTCTCGTTGTCTGTTAAAAATTCTAACAGATAGGTGGAGTTCCTCCCAGTAGAGGGTATTAATTCTAGATTTGAAGCTTTCGTGACTGCTATGATTTCTATTCTTAGGTGTATTTTATTTTACTTTTTAATGTTTTTACCTACGTGACTTTACCGAAAAAACCTAAGAATACAAAAAAAACTGTTAGCGTTATAAATTTCTCGATACGGCCGATCAAAAGTTGACCGATTATCGGATAATCGAATCCGCTGCTGGACGAAGAACCCATCTCCTCGGCGGACGTGCCTGACCGACGCGCCTTCCGAAGACCCACACATCACAATCTTGATCTGAAGCTTTCGTGACTGCAGGAATCTTTGGTTCTTTCGGTAAAGTCACGTGGGTAGAAAATAAAATAAATCACGACGTTTCGGGCGCAACACAAGCGTCCGTCGTCAGGTGGGACAGCTTTCCTCCATCTGATAACGGACACCTGACGACGGACGCTGGTGTTGCGCCCGAAACGTCGTGATATATTTTATTTTAAAGCTACGTGACTTTACCGAAAGAACAAAAAAGTACCCACGTAATATTTTATTTTTTTTTCGCAATCGCATGTCTTTGGAGAGAGTGAGCGACGCGGGCGCTGAACGTGGTTAAATTCGTACAGGTCGAATTTTTTTGTTTTTTTCCTCCGCAAAGTTCGCATCACTGTGGTGAGGCGAACCTGGTGACCACACGAGCCGAGACACGTCACGTGACACCGTGCTGCATTATCCAGCACGTGATTCAGATCCTCCCTGATTGGAAATCCCAGTGACTCTCGCGATATAGACCTGTCATAAGAAAAGGCACCCTCCACAAGAAAGGGGGGCTCTCTAAAGACCCCCTCGAGTGGGGGGCTCTCTAAAGACCCCCTCGAGTGGGAAGCCCTTCCGCTAGCAGTGGCGTGAGCAGAAGCATTGGCAGGACTGCGCCTTTAACCTTCACTGAGTCACTGAGTCACCGAGTGGTGATGACGATGGTGGTGGTGGTGGTGATGCTGCACGTGACTTGCCTGTCACCCGGCACTGCGGAGGCAGCAGCAGCAGCAGCAGCTGGGGCTGGTGTATCACGGCACACACGCGGACGTTGCCACGGGTTCACGAGGGGAGGAGGGCGGCCCAGCAAGAGTGACCATAGTCGCCCTCTGTTGTGTGTTTCCGGCTTTCTCTCCACGGTGGGAGTAATGAACGCAGCTCGTCATGAAATGGGCTGCAAACAAAAACAAATCAGAAAGCCCAATGTAGCAGCAGCGTGGCTCTCCTGGATGTAATGAAGCAATACGTAAACGCGGTGGTGAGATGTTAACTGCCTCGCCTGGTGTACAGGAGGTCGTGGGTTCGATCGC